CGGTGAAATATATATTTTCTGCGAGTTATTGAATTTAGACGCAATGTGGACGCAATATTGCGACGGATTGGCGTAAAAAGATATTTTCCTGCGATGGTCTTTCTTTTAGTCGCCAATTTGACGCACTTTCGCGACTAATTTGCGGCCCTTGATATTTTCTTCGGTTTGCGTCTTAATTGCATGGAAAGTAGTTAGAACACGTTTTCAATGACTTTGCACGATTTTTATCGGACAAAATGATAGTCGTGACTTTTTTGCGGCTTTGACATGCAAATCCGAAGCAAATTTGCGAGGGATTTGCGGCTAGATTTAACAATTGCGACTAATTTACGGTTAAATTTTGAACTTGCGACTAATTTGCGGTGATAAACCGCAAATCAAAAGCAAAATTACAAACCTTGTAATCTGAAATATTATGGTTCTGGTTAGTTTCATAATAACGTCTCTCGTGTGTTTATTAATCACTAGTGATTATAGACCCTATATTGTTCGATGGAACGTTGTTGATAACATCATTTTGAAACAACTCCATTGTTCAACTAATAGACTAATATATATGTAACTATATCAACAAACTATGTTCAATTGATTATTTTTGACGATTTCTGGAATTTCTTATATATGTGCTTTAAATTTTGTTTGAACTATCAATTTACATTGAACTACTTATTTTGGTAGCTTGCTATAGGGTATGATTGATCTCTAAACCCTAAGTTTGCCCCAAATTTAATTTGCTTCTTTTTTTGCGTCGTAAAAGTTTCGTATACTCGCAAATCCATCACAAATACTTATATATTGTGTCGAAGTTGCGTTGAATATCTGTTTGCATGGCGTTTACGACGGAATGTGGCCAAAAACCAAAAAAAAAAATTAATTTCGCTTCATTAGCGACTCAATTGCGTTTATTTTAAGGTATTTACGTTGGATTTGCGACGGAATTTGTAGATAAAACCAAAACACAATAATTAATTTTGCTTCATTTGCGACTCAATTGCGTCAATTTGTGTGATAAAAATAAGTTTTAATTTTTTTTTTAGATTTATTTTTTACTTGCGACGAAATATAGCGGTAAAACCAAAAAAATTAATTAATTTCGCTTTTGCGACTTATTAGCGACGCTATGTGGCGGTAAACAAAAATTTTTTTAATTAATTTCCCTTGATTTGCGACGGACTTGCGACTAAAACCAAAAAAAAATGATTGGGCTAAAAATTAGGTTAATGGTTTTGCGTCTGTTTTGCGACGGAATTAAACCATATATAAAATTTATCTCACTAGCAGAACAACCTTTTCTCTCTTGTTCCTCTCTGGTTTTTTTAGAGA